AATCACGACGTGACTTGGTCAAGAATTGGCGTGACTTTTGTGCCTGTAGGAAAGCCAGCTGGACCCTATAATCCAGGTCGATCTAGTAGGCAGTAAGCTAAAAATCGTCGTGAAATTCAGGGCGATGGGTTGCCACTGAAAACTAAAATCGATACTCGTGCGTCGGGGAGGCTGACCGCAGCAAGCATTTTTTTTCAAACCGGCTATTCTGTGTATCACCATCTGAGGTCGGGAGTGTCTATTCAATGCATTAAGAGTCACTATAACTCTTCTTACCAAGAAAAACTTCTCACCAAAGATTTCTCTGAGTCCGTAGGTCCCGAAGATAGCCGTTTTACTCGTTGTTTCTCTCGATGGTTCATAGGAACATTCGGCGCAAATGTACTTTCAAAAAAGTGCTATAAAGTGCAGAGAACAGACAGAAAATTCAGGTGCAGTGGTTGTTCATACATTGATCTCTTTTGGGCAGATCTCAAAGACAGAATAGATGCAAACCTTGATGTAGTTTACATTTTAGCTGGCGAACTGTGTAACGTGGCAAGGGTAGTAATTTTGTGTACTCAATCCTTATGTATATAATATAATTGCATTGGGTACAACATGGTATAACTGTACGAATCGCACATTGCACTGTGATATAACTAGTACCAGAATATAAAAAAAGAAAAAAAACTATAGAGGAGGAGTCCGCGATACACGTGGGCTGCTAGCTATTACGTAAGAGTATATCGACAGTTTTATTCAATCGTTATCAACACATACTTCTGAAAAACTTCTAGTAGCATCAGCTCAAAATTTACGAACCAATGAATCGGCAAAGCGAACTTTCAGTACTTGTTCGATAGCTGCTCTCGATTCGCGATTGGAAGGAGCTCACCAACCTATCTCAGTGTATTTGTTAGCGCGGAACATTTAGGTCAAAGCTTTTTCTATACAAAGTTCTCGGTAACCTTGTCGTCTGCATCATGTAAGCTGGCGAGTCTCAACCACAATTACGCGTTAATTCCCATTGATACCGGCTTGACGTAAAGCGTAGCCTGTGGCAAAGGCTGGATCGTCATAGACGAGTAAAATGATCTATACGGATTCAGAGGAGCCTGAATTGTACGATATCGTTTCACATTGTCAAAGACAACCATTTCTGCCGTAACCCAACACCATTGAGCACCATTTACGGGTATTGGTGACGAAGCGTACCCAATTGGCAAAATTTGCATAGTTAGTGTGCAAGTAGTTGACCAAGCTGAGTCACTTTGTCAGATCTAGTTGGGACATAGACAATGGAAAATATATATTTAGCCGCTCCCGGGCCTGGTTAATAATGAAGCAGCCGAAATTGTGAGTTTTATCGGAGCTAAATACACTCTTGTATATATTGGGGAATAGATTATTCAAGTACAAATACTCAAGCCCTATTGGCATGTATTCAGTAAGTTACCAAGTCCGATTTTTCGGGCTGTGAACGATTAGATCGTCAAGAAGGATTTGTGGATAGCAGCAATAAGGCCTGAATGTGCCGGTGGAAAATTTGAAAAATTTGTGGTAGAGATGCGCTGTAAGAGGCTAACCGAGACTGAAACAACTGATGCACTCTTGAGATGAAGACTCGATAGGAATGCAGCAAAATTGCAACTATATTTAAAATTTGGTTTGTGAAAAAAATGAAATCACTTCAACTCCTGAAGATTGTACGTATATTAACCTACAAATGCGAAAATAAACATGTGAACTTGTTATATAAAACCTCGGGTCTACTGAGATTGAACACCGGGAAAATAAAAAAAATATTGGATAATTCAAACCTTGAGTCCATCGAAGTTGAATCCGCGGAAAAGCTGAAAATGCTTAACTTGATGCCTCCATGAAAGTTTCCCACAAATTGGTTGACTCGCGCCGCTCAAATCAGTTGGGAGAACCACGTCGGTCTCATAACCAGTGTGGATTCACAAATAGGAACCATTTATCTGTACTGATTTGTACATTGGATTTCGTAACATTTTCCAGTTATGTATTTGTGCAAGAATATGTTTGATGGACAGGCGTGGCATACTGTAAGAACAAACCCAATGTATGGATTTGTCATGGAATATGCAGACATGTTCCTAGACAAAGGGTCGGGCAAACTGCCAAGTGACAGAGGCATTCGTCAAGGGATAGATGCACTTCCGGAAATTAAGTCCTGCAGTGACCGCTACCAAAGGAACAGGTCGATGCGCTCGATGCGCTCGATGCGCTCGATGATCTTTCGCGCAGCGACAAATGGCTGGTCATTTGCGTAAGGGCAAGTTTCCGCACTGTACCCACCTTCTGTGCGAAAAAAGCCACAGGTGGGGGTTGGCTCATTGTTCAAGTTTTCAGCAGATAAAGTGATGCGACCATTTTGGCCAGGACACCATTTTCGCAAAATCCTTGATGGCATATGTTGACAGTACCGCCCTTATCTTTGACGATGGTGTTGTTCAGATCTGTATGCATGAGAAGTTTCACCGCTCACATGAGTAAGCGCTCGTAGTGGTATGTCTTGGAAATGGATGTCAATGCCGCAACAGCGACTTTCAACAAAATGGCCCCAAATATACTCCTTCCTTTGAAAGAGCTTGACCAGAATTCTTTGACATTTAATATGTTGATAAGCAAGGCTTCAGGGAAGAAGAAGAATGTCGAAGTCTGTTTCATCTTTTTTACCGGGTCTTCCAGATTATACAAGAATAAAATATACGCGAAACCGAAGAAACACATCTTTTTTTCCCCCCTGAGATTTCTTTTCTAGTTTGCTTTGTTGGAAAGAATGGCGTTCGAGCTGATCTTAAGCAGGTCAAATTTGTTGATGACTGATCCCTTCCGTAGTATTTCAGACTACTTCGTCAGTGGTTGGGTTTGGCAAACTCCTTGCACAATTGTACTCGCAATTATGCTGCATTGATTCAACTTTTCACGTGTGTTGTCAAGAAAAAATCAATGAGTGGTAGTGGCCTTAGAAGCATCAGGTAGCGCTTGCATAATTAAGGTAGGCCTTAATAGAAGTCCCTGTCGAAGCACTCGCAAACCATGAGCAGCTATTCCATGTAGAATGCGGCGTGCACCGATGCAACACGATGATGAGGTCAAAGGAAGAGCTATCACGACAAGAACGTTTTGCTAACAAAGGAAATTCTGGCCATGGGGTACGCGTTGGCAATGTTCCGGGTCTACTTGCTTGGTGAAGAGCAGTTTAATATCAAAACTGGCTACACATACCTGCGGGCAGCTTAAAACAACATTTAATCTGTCAAAAAGGACGACAGCATTGTTCTACGTTTTGGCAGAGTACAGCTTTATGGAGTACTGTAAGCCTGGCGACGCAATTTTTTTGCAGATGCGCTGTCTAATCGTCCGGATTATAATTCGAAGAACAGAAGTGACGGCTTGAACAGAGCGTATCGACTCTGTGAAGGCGTCAATGCGATTGCTATAGAAATGACAAGCACTGTTTAAGTAAAAATAATTGAAAGCTACAAGCCCAATAAAGCTTGCAAAGATTTGATCAATTCTTTTTAGAGCTCATTGGATATAGCAGTCAAGATGCTTCCACCAAGAGCTAGATCGCGAGTCCATCATTACAGCACGTATGGTGGGCTACGGTACCACTCAGTTGACGAAGCGAAAATATTGTCTCAAATGATTGAGTTTTGCGTCTTTGACTCTTGTATAAGTATCATTCCAGTCTTTCAAGTGGACATCTCGGAAGAGGGATATAGCCTTTAACTTGTTGCAAAATTATCACTGGCCATATATGTACATGTGGGCTAGCGATATGCGCGTACTAGTAAATTGAGCCATTTGGGTCGCTCGGGAAAGCTGGAGTTATAATTACGTGGTTATTATATTTTAAATTTCAAGTGATACACACGACAGGACTCGGATCTGACTGCGAAAGTCTTTGTAGACGCGATATTCTGTTTACATGTCTGCCTTCAAAGATCCTATTCGACTGTGACCTTCGCTTTACGTTCAGACCTTCGTTTCACGGAGTACCCTTATTATATTTTGGATACAAAACTATCCATGTCAACGGCAGCACGATCAAGGATTGACGGTCAGACTGAACGAGTGAAAAGTGTCTTGGAAGACGTGTTGCACAGCTGAGAGAAATCTTTAATGGTCTTCTTTCTCACGCAGAGTTTGCGTCGAACGTCTTTACGCATGTCTCGACAAGTCTTTTATCAATTTTGTGTGAGCTATAGACTCTAATCAAGAGTTCCCATCGTCACTAGTAGAAGAGGGCCTACCTTAAGAGGGATTGGGACTGTGGCGCAAAAGCTGCAATTAGACCTTAATGCTGTCACTGAGAAAGAGCATAATTCGACTCGATAAAGCTTTTAGACGTCTGAAAAGTCGTGAGAAACAGCGATTCTGTGACTTCATCGCGGGGTGACAAGCTGTTGGTAGTTTTGCTCGAGATGCAACTTTAACGTCGTAGGGTCTGCAAAAGCAGCTTTCTCAGTTTTTTGAAATCGCGCAAGCTCCGCTTAAACCTTATCGAATCTCTTTACGAGTCAAGAATCCATTGCTGAGCGTTGGACTTGATAGTTGATCAGCAAATTGATCTTTTACCTATTCTTCTTTAAAGGGTCCTCAAGGCTTCTGTTATTTTCGTCCGGTATAATAGTACCGCATCGCAAAATTTCAAATGCCTCAACCTGAGCTATTTCGCTTCCAGAGCCGCTCAATCACTTTTGCATTAAGCCCTTATCCTCTTAATAATAATCCAAGAGACTGTCATTTAAACTTCGAGCCGATAATTGGTCACGAGGATCGACCCGCTTGTCTACATGGAAGATACAGCTGACCTGGTAAAAAAACGATTCAATAGAGTACGGTAGCATGGCTATCAGCCGGGCTCTGACACGTGATAATCTCCAGAGACTCTTCAATCTGATGTTCTTGATATGATTTGTGGCTACGAACAGAGCTTGTAGTGCTCGCGAAATCGCTAGAAAGACTAGGGTCAGCCTCTTGCAATGGGTCTCGAGCGATCCTTCTGGCTTTCCAGCAAACGCTCGACAAGATACTCATACTCAAATCAGAAGAAAGAATTTCTCGGCTGCAATGGATTGGCCGTGATCGTTGCCGCCGTACATTTTTCGCTAAAGAAAATTGCTTCTTGGAGAGCCGGTATTCACACTTCTTATATCGTACAGGCCGAGATTCGACCGTCGCCGCTACTGCTGCGGCAGTTCTTCTTGCTTCACTTGATTGCTTGGTAGATTGA